AGCGACTGCAAATAAGAGTAGTTTTTCGCTGCAGCTTTCCAGCATGGAAAATGAGGTGTAATATTTTGTAATGTAATCTATGGAATAAATTCATTTGCTGGAAATGCGGTTTTCTACTTAAAAATTTCATGTTTTTCTGATACAATTTAGTCGTAATTTGTCGATATTTATATTTTCATCTATAGAATAGATCTGTAATAACAGTGTAATTATGGAAATATATACTAATAAGAGCTACCCTGTATAATAGTATCAGTTTCTCAGCATTTCTCATTAATAATTTGTTTCTCATATATTTCCTCGTGTGAACCTGATTACGTTAATCTATCCTTTTTTTCATCCGATGCGTTTATATTCGTTCCATTTAAAAGAAGAAAACAAAACACACACACAATGAGTCGCACATTTAAGCGGATTTAATTAATAAGGTGACTGTTGGAACGTGTTAGATGTGTCTATATTAAGAAATACATCAATCATAAGGCGATCTTAATTCTGTATTGCATCTTTTTTTTATATCCATCGATGAATAGTGGAGCACGCGTCACAAATTTATTCTAAGTTATTTACCTTCACCGATTAAACGTTTACTATTAACCAATGCTGTATAAAATTATGTTATACAATGATATCAAAATATATGGTAACAATTGCAAGACAAACGAGCTGTAATTGGTCTGACGAGGCGACGTCTTTATCCACTTGAACCAATTTAAGTGTTAGGTAGATTAATCAACCTCAAACAACGAATAACTACCGTTTCCAAGTTCGCCGTACTATCTCTGGAGTAATTATCAAAGGTAAACTTTCGCATCTAATTAATAAATATTCTATGAATTATTTATTCCCAATTTACTCATTCCACTTACAAGTGTACAATTTTTCTATCGTACAACGGTACAGTAGATTTCGACTTTCAAACTTTCAAAACAAGGGCGAACCATTTTGAATTTTAACATAGTTATTTATTTTACTTTTAGAAAATAAAAATATCAAATCCGGCATTACTTACATTCGTCAAAAATTAAAATAATCGTCTGATCAAACTGTGTCCGACGAGGAACACTTTTCTCCCCGATACTTCGCGAAGTTCACATCTCTCGTCGAAGAGAAACTTCCGTCGTTTTTTCTCGGCTTACCGCGTCTTTCGTTACGAACTTTTTCACTTTACTTATTCTTGTCCGCTCCGTTCGCCAATGAAACGAATTGCAACGGAAAAACCCAGGGGACGGAAAACGGTGATGGATGCTTCGTTTTCCTTGATCATTCGTGTAGTTCGTTTTATTTTCAACCATTCTTTTTCCCGGTTAATTAGGCAGTCCTTGTAAAACGCGAATTCAAAATTTCAAAATCCTCGAGTAGCCGTTACAGAATTTTCTCCGAGTTTTTTGCTTCAAGGCCAAAAAGAACTTGGCGCATTGAAAAACGAAAGTGAAATACGGTACGAGATGCAATATTAGACGCATTTTTTCTTTTCGGTTTGCATGTATGCGACACGAGACGACCAATAGCAGAAGTTGCGGACGTGTATCTTCGGCGCTCATAAATTTTCAAAAAGTTTGTTACACGAACGCCCCGTGCCACGTAAATACAGGGCGAAACTCCGTTACCCGACGTTCAGCAGCATGGGAAATTGAGACGTGAGTGCACACCGCTTTCGTCGAGCGTTACAAATTTAGGGCGATCAGCTTTGAGGGGTTTCCCTCGGATAATTTTGAAACCGGGCAAAAACACGAGCCGCCTCGTTCAATGTAATCTACCGATACTAATCGCCGTTCAAGTTATCCGAGAATCTCGCTCGTGTTCGTTCGGCCGGAACGGAAAAGAAACCGATCGCAATCACGGCGGGCGTACTTACGCACCGCGAAATTGCCGTTTACAACGCGTGTTTTCCTAACCAGATGTCAACAGTCAATCAAAACGCTTGAATCACAGCCGCAATTTGTCGTTCGCAGTTCCCCGCAAACGCTGCGTTTGCTCTCGAAATACCTCGAGCACCCTTTTGATATATTATGGTCCGCTGTATGGTGCCGTTGTGCCATTTTACTCGCCTTGCCGCAATGCGCGCGGCCAGTGGACGCACATTTTTGAATTTTCAGTCGTGGGAACCTGATGAAAACCGCGTAATGATTTTACAGGTCGAATATAGGATGTTCAAGGGATGATGGGAGTACCGGAAGTGACGCGTAACACGTGAACTATGAGAGATATTAGCGGATCCTCGATCTCTTAGAACCTTTCTACCCGTTACCTTTCAAGCGAATTTTCTTTTCGACTTGTTACGAAGTAATCTAGTTTCTCGCTATTAACTGCTAATAGAAATCCACGATCGTCGCAGACGGGGTGTGCAATTAGTCTTTCAGATGGTCCATTACCTGGCGTAATTCGTCTGGAACCGGCGAAACAGTTTTCCGGCGAACGTCTCGAGCTGCTCTCAGGGGAAAATAGAAGGACAGAGTTTCGTTCAGTCATTACGATATTTATTTTAGAATATTCGTAGACCCTCACATCGACCCGTTTCTATACGCTGGCGCGACATGAGCACGAGGTCATACATAAAAAGTTTCTGCTTGTCTTGATGTATTTACAGAGAATTAATCACGATTGCGCTTCGAGAGTTTGACATTCACGTGAGAACGCTCGGCCGTCGCCGCCACCGACGCGACCGGCCGGAAATAATCGGTCCAATGTTTAATTTCATTCGCGCGAGGTTAACTTTGATCTGTCTGTCTCCGTCTCCACCCTCCGACCCACAGTGCGGCCAAATGGCCGTTCGCCGGACAAAACTCGATAACTTCGAAAGTACCAGTGATGCGAACGAATGCTTCGGACAAAAGTTGCAAGGTATAGAGCTACATATACAGTAATTATATTTTTTTTTACAATACAGGGATATTATAAAGTGTTTTCGATGACAGAAAGATACTTTACGTTTCGATTCCAACGTTACGCGAATAGAGAAAGAGTTCATTCGCGCGAAATGTTTATTTTTCAAATGAAAATCATGTTGGCAACGCATCGGTGACCTATTTTAGTTATCCCAATAGTCGAATTTCAGAGTTTTGCCCACAGGCGACCGCACTGTGCGACTAGTCCTGCGTGTCGGCGAACACGAATCCGGGAAAACTGAAACCGCGTCACGACTCGCGCGCACAGTGACACTTTCGACGCCAACTTAACGAAGTTATCGATATAGTATCAAAAATACGCATTGACAAAATTATACCCTTTGTGACTCTTCTATTGTGCCGTTCTTTTCGTCTCCTTTTTGCAGAGGGAACCTCGTTCGAGCCTCGGGCAGAACTTCCGGATCAACGCCGACCCCGAATGTAACAGGAACCACGGTTCGTCGTCGTTTTTCGACGCGAGCGTTGCTCGATTGTCTTCCGTGTTCCACTTTTCGGACTTTTTGTTCGACTTGGAACGGTGATATTGATAATTCTTACCGGGGAAGTATTGTCGGCTCCCGGTAATCTGATAACGATGCATCCGGCTCTAACCATTCAACGTTTCACTCGAATATTCTTCCGTGTCGCTGTATTATCGTGGTTTTTATAGAAGAATCGTGATATTGTTGAAGATAGATTTTGTTATATCGAGAATTTTGGATTGGACTGATTTGAACGAGTGATTTGTTCATTTGAAATTAGGAAATTTCGGAGCCTACCTATGTTATTTGGTATATTAGAACTTATGATATTCGTTCTTAAGTGAAACTGTTACTCAAATTTCCCCAGTAAGTTGCTTTTGTTAGAACGGAACTCGACTTCGGGATACCACCGATCGAACATTGATCGTTCCTTCTGTTCCGCCGTCGTTCGAGCGTCCGTAAATTTTGCCCGATTCTCCGAACGATGGAAGAATGTAAAAAAATATAATGTAAATGTCCCGTGAAATGATTAGACACTGTAAACGTCGATTTTAGTTTTCGGCAGATCTTCACGCTTACGTACGAAAGCAGAGATTTATGTCCGAGTTCCTACGTAGACATATCCTAAATGTAACGCGTTACCTTCTAATTTTATTCCCTAAAACATCATTAGCTATGACGACATCGATGACGCGCGTGTCTCGTTTACACCGCACGCACGCGAATCATTCGCAATCCTGCTAGTTCATTGACAATTCCAACGGAAGAAAGCCTACGGAAAGTACAACTGAAACACATTCGAATAATCGTTTCGGCTACCATCATTCTTGATCAATCGTGCTGAGGACATCAGTCGTCTCGTGTATTTACATCGAAACCGTTTTCATTAGCAATCACCGATAAATTCAGTTACGGGACAGCGTACAGTTCGCATTTCGCTATCGTGATCGGAAAATCATTCCATTATTTAGGAGAACGAAATAATAAAACGAGCAGTTATCTTCATTTGAAAGTGTTCTCATCCGGGGATTAACATTAAATTTGTTTGAAGTTCCCGATTACCCTGCTACGGTAATTTTGTTGAGCTTGAAACAGGACATTTTTACGTATCATTGTTGCGTTCGTTCTTCCCTTCGCTTTATTGCTATTCGGTAGCGATCGATGCTTTTACAAAACGGTCGAATCGAGTGAAAGAGCAAGCTTGACCGTGGAGAGTGCTTCGGAGCGCGTCGAATCCTCCATTAGGCGTGCGGTGGAAGCCATTTTGTTTCGTTCGCGGCCGGAGTAGGTCCGTCCTCCGTTTCCCGCCAGCGGATATCGTCAGCACTACTGAAGTTGATGATTATGTTAACTATCTGCCTAGGTACACCTAGTGTTTTTTAAAAATTACATCGAGTTCACCGAGACTTCAAGGAACAAATGTACACCCAATCGATCGTCGAGGACTTCTCGCGGCGAACGTGTGTCCGCCGCTGTTGTTTCGCGTAAAGCGAAGCGTCCGTTCGCGTTCTTATTTAAATACATAGTCGAGTTATACACATTTAACACAGCGATCTCCGATCATACATGCTTTGGTTTTAGCGGTTTAACTTGTTTAATACTCTAAATTCTTTCTTGAGCCTCGTCGAATTCTCTAGGTGCGCGCCGGCGAGATTGTCTCCGTTACCTCCCCGTCGACGGGGATCACGAGAACGCCGTTCCCGCCGTGCCGGCCGACTTCGATTAAACACTTTAATGTAACGTACGTACTTTTGATTTGTGTCACATACAAACAGCTCGCGTTAGAAACGTCTAGGATTGTCTAGCTAGTGATACGTCTTCCTTCCCTGGTTCGGAACGGTACAGTTCTACTGTGAGATTGTACGGTCGGGCGCCATTGTTGTGGTTTCAGGGATGCAAAGCCAGGCCGGAGACTGTCTGAGTAACTCGCGTTTCCTAAATCTAATGAATACGTTGTTGCAAATAACAATCCGTTCTCGAGTCGGGCACGTTTGAAAAGCAACGCTGTCGTTTGTTACCCGAACAAAAGAGTGCCCTGGAAACGCGTTACTTGGACGATTCCGAGCGTAAAGTCTTCTCGCCTGTTCTTTTCGTTCGCCGCGGAAGAGAAGTTGGTATTCGGTAAATTTTACTTTATATCACGTTATGTATATCGATAGGAATTATATCACAATTACCTCCGTTCAATAGCTCGATTGTTCATGATTTCGCGACAAAACCGTTGTGTTCGTAGTTGGAGGCGAACGTTCGATCGCTCGATTGCTCTTACGCGGGGAATTTCGACAGACAGTCTCGGTCCTCAATTTAACCCTTCGTTTCTTACAATTATCGATATTTCCGCCTCGCGTGCTTCATCTCGGTTTGTAATTTCCTCGATATACGGCCTCGTCCGTTTGGACCGTCTAAAACATTCGAACGGACTCGGAATTAAAACGCCGGGAGAGCTGGAGCGAACGGGCCAGTGTAAATTAAAGAAATTTAGAGCACGGTATAACCAGGCTAATCTGGCGCAAATGAAGATGAGGCTGCAGCAGGAGGTCCAAATGAAAGAACACAGAAAAAACCCCGCTAATCCGGAATAATCGGGAATGGAAGGGAGACGTTTGAATTAAGAAAATCTTCGAGCAGAGAGGAATCTTGCTAATTCAAATGCAAGCAATTGTTCTAATGGAGCAACGAGGTTCCGGAGATCCAATTCTTTATCCTAATAACTAAGCGCGGAGCCAAATGAAAAAGTTTTAATTACGTGAACGCGTAATCTGCGTCGAGACCTCGTCGCCATGCATTCGTTATCAACGAGAAGAAAGCGAATTATCGTAAAACACGAAATTATATTACATATACCTCTACGGAAAGTTTAATTGTTCTTTACTGGATGCGATATATCGAAACGAGGGGCTAAATGAATAGATCAACACGCTAATCATCAGGGCAGATTGCGAATAATTTTCTGACTAACGAGTGAAATTTCATCAATTTTTCATGTCGTTCGGAACCCTTAACACTTTGAGCAAGTAGCGTTTTATTTCATTATCCTTTATCTTTGTTATACTAATATTAAGCGCGTCACTGAGTAATCTACCATATCGTGTCGAGTTCAATCTGTAATTTTCTGCAACGCCGCACGCCATTTTGTCGGTCGAAGCGCGCGAAAGATGTTCCAATTTTGAATCTCGTCGCCAGCTCATTAAACGCAATCGGTGTATTACTCGTCGACACGCTCAATACTCAGGTTCCATTTACAAACTATACGAGAACCAGTATCAGAAAAATATTTCTTCTATCCTCCGATAATTCTTTGATGCGGTTTACACTGATTTGCGCGCGACAGGTCGGAGAATCATAATTCTACACTTACTCTTTCTACGACTCCTAGGCAACGCGTCCGAGAATCCGCTTAACGCGCCTGACTATTACCGTGTTAATTGATATTACGTTTAATCCTTCATCGGGTCGTAACTTTAAAGAGACGTCGCGTCGCCTCGCCGTTCGACGCGTTATTCGATTTAACGGCACGCGTGACGCGCGCGATAGATTTAAAAGTGTCAAAGTGGAAATTACCTTTAACATTGCACACCACGGAAACGATACACACTTTGATCTCCGGAATATATATATACGCAACAAATGAACCGACAGCGACAGCTCGCCTCGTACGCAACAATATCCAACGTACACCTTAAACTCCGATCACTTGCCACTCTCAGGTAAAATAGAATTTCGTTCAAACAATACTATCTCATCGTCGAGTGCAATAAACGTACAATAAAATATTCAATTCTAGTGCAACAATATATATAAATATATGTATACTATGTATAATTATACGTGTAACATTCCTATGGCTGCAGGATGAAACTTTACAAGCCGCGTTTCCCAGAAGTTTTCCTACGCGACAGAAATGAATCGCTTTTGAAAGATTTCTTCTCGCAGAATGAGAAGACACGAATATCGAAACCGGGAAAGCGACACTTTAAAATATCAATTTCAACGATTTAACAGGGAAAACTCGCGACTTTCATCGTCTCGGCTCGCAACCACAGGAACACCGGTTAACATTCGTAAAATTCTCCGCAAAGTTTCGACCCGACTTAAACCATACACTCCTCGCACTTCGAAGAAAATCATCCCTTTCTGGAAACGATGGCCGTCAACTGGAATTACGTTCTCCCGTGTAGCACCGTATATAGTTGTACCTACATATTAATACAATATTTATATAGTTCTTAGAGTGTCACGTGTCTACCAGCGACGCGATTTCCCCCGACAGTCCATTTATAGCTCGCGTTACGATTTTTCCGCGAATGGAACTGGTATTTCAAGTATCCGCCGGTGCAAACGAGTTGACCCGCGGGCGTACAAAGAAACTGCGCGTCCCTGGATCCGTCTTGTGTCGCGTTCAGCTCGATCGAAATCATTCCAGTCTCGTGAAACGTTTACTTTCCGTGTAACGCTCGCGACACGAGTTTGCCGAAGCTCTTCCAAATAACGGAGTTCTGTTGAAAAGGAAACGGCTTCGTGAAATAATTTCCCGCGAGGGAAGCGTTCGTTTATGAATCGACTCTGAAAGATTCATGTTTAGAATTCGAACGGAGTTATCGCTTTCCCTGCACTTGCTTTGATTTTTAACTGTTGTAACACATGAATATCAGTACTAAATATCTCCACTGTCACTCAATTGTTACTATTACAAACCTTTAGCCCAAAATGTCAGAAAGTGTCTATTCTTCGTGGTTCAAAGAATTTCTATTTCCGAAACTGTCTGTTAAATCGTTACTATTAGCAAAAGAATGTTCTAGCGTTTATAGTTCGTCGTTTAAACGAAGAACCGATCTCTTCACAAGTTCAATTAACCGCCGAGGCGATTCCCTGCATCGAACCGATGCAAAAACGATCGCGCCGCTCGGGTCGCTCGAAAATTCGCGAGAAAATCCATCGAACGGCCATTACGGCGCACGCGGTTTTGCGCTCTGTTCGATGGATCGGGCACGGTTGTTTTGTCTCGCATACGATTAACGTGTATTGCCCTGGTTTCGGAGCCAGCTACACGTTTATGGCTCTTCAGCAGCGCGGCTTTATTACCCGCCTGCCCGCGAGCCTTCCCTTCTTTAGCTGCCACCTTAAAAAGATCCAGGTCAGGACACCACGCGTTCCGCGGCACACGCGTCGCGTCCGTTTTCCCGTTTTCACCGTTCGCTTTTTCGCCGGCTGCCAATTCCACGATTGGCCGGACGCGTCCCGTACGCACACCGACACGCGAGGGCCGTTTATTCCGATTTTTTCCTATCAATCGCGAGGCTTTTCTCGCGCTCTTTTATTCTCGGCCAAGTTTCGTCGGAAACCAATCAAACACCTCCCGCGTATGGAAAAATTCCGATCGCTGTTTATTTCGAGAACAATTCTGGAATGTAGAACATGGTAATTGATATTATTTGAAACACGTGGCGACTAAAGGGGATATTTCATCCATTTCGCATCCCGAGATTCCTTCGGTCGCGATCTGATTTTGAACATCTTGGTCTGTGACCCTGTCGAACAATTTTATTGTTAAAGATTTATTAGAACAAGTGAAGAATTACATATTTTTCCAATGGCTACATTTATTTCGGAGATGATAATTGATAGAGAAACCATGGTTAATCTCGAGTCGAATGAGTGGAATGAGGTTTACGTTTGCTAACTTCTATTTGAAATTTTCCTCGACAATTGCTTTCAGTCGTAGATAATTAACAAAGCACCTTTTCCATGCAGATGGGCTCTCGAAAATACGCGATTCCAGAAGTGGCGGCGAGCCGCTATTATCATTATCAGGTTAATTGATTTCCCTCACCTTCGGGCCGGTTATTCCAGTTCTTTAATAGAAGGTTCGCAGGACGGTAGTCATTTCCTTTCACGGAAGAATTTCAATTGAAAGACAATATTGTAAGATTGCGTGCCGCCGGGAATGATATTGGACATGCGATCGCGAGAGGGAGAAGAGTGCACCCGTGATTTCCACGGCGAAGAGTCAACCTCGCCGGTGTACAAACAACATTAACACATCGCTGACCGCGCGTTTCTCGCGAGCGTGTAGTGAACTTTTCAAATTAAAAGTTTCGCGAACCACGGAAGACGTTCCAAGCGAATAAACAACGATCCGACGGTGATGACTCTTTATTTCCCTTTAGTTTCCATGGAAAGTCTAGTCGTTTCACTTTTCAATGCGTCGTTCACGTTACAATATACTGATAAACATTGCGAACGGGTAAGCCAAAAGGCAATAGAAAGTTTTCGAGTAAAACACGCAAGGCATCGAAATTGTTCTTTGAACTCTGAAAAATGCGACGAGATTTTCCGATCAATCTAATGTAACTTGACTATAAGAATTAAGAGACAACGCGTTGTCGAGAGAAATTGGACCTCTTGCCTCATTTTGGTAGTTTGAAACTAAATCTGCTTTAAATCGAATGTAAATAAATTAAGTTACTAAATTAATGAAATTCTTAAATTTATTTTGCTCTCATGAATATTTAATCGTCGCAGTGAATATAGACCGACAGTGAACATAGAAATCTTCTCTCCGATGAATAATTAACAACAGGGCTTCGAAGAGGGCAGGTGCCAAAGAAGCCGCAGGATGAAGGGTCAAAGGACACAGCGGTTTTTCTTGTTCGGTGTTATTTCTGGCGTTCACCTTGGGCGGCCGAACGCCTTAAAAATCCGAGCCGCAATCGCGATCGTAAAGCGAGCCTCCGACTGTTCTTATCGGCGAGGTTTTCGTACAGCCGCGCGGCCGGATTTCACGCGACCGCGTTAAAATAGTTTTATCCGCGGGAAACTTTTGCTTTCCGTATCTATGCGCAACGATCGTTATTACCTTTTAAACTGGACTTTAACTCGTACACCGTAAAGCAACGCGCTCGGAACAAAGTTTTACGCAAGGTCACCGCGATTGTTGTCCACGATAAACTATATCGCGCTTTTGTTACGACAATAACGCTGTTTCTACTCCTATCGCGTTTTAGGCAGTCCTTTGCTCGAGAATTCCTTCGTTACGAGCTGTTCATTTGCCAAATCGATCGAACCTACGGGATATAACGGAGAAATCGGTAAAAGAGATCGCGTGCCTTTGCTATAGGAACAAAAGCAGTTTAGCTAAGCAAGTCGAGCGATATTTGTCGTAAAGATTGTCGAAATGCATGAAGGTTGCATTAGCAATGCATTCTTCGCGAGAAATTAGTCGATTAGCAGCAGTTTTAATAGAATCTCTTTTTCCTTGCGTCAGGCCGTGTTGCTTCTAAGATGGAATCCAGCAAGCGACGAGTTTAGCGATTAGCAATGAGATTGACGATTGAACTGACGCAACGCGAGTGAGAGGTGCTGCGCTCGTTTGATGCATACGCGCTGGAAACGATACAGCGAGCTCGTAAATTAGACACCGATAGCCTCGTTCGGACAAGTCCATCGGCAGTGGGAAGTTTTATTATCCGAGTATGCATTTTACAGTGTGCTCGATAGAATAATCATCTAACTATTCTGTGAAACTGAATGTTCGATCATCAAGCGTCTAATTCGGTTTCCACGGAATTTATAAACAGAATCACGGGAGAAATGTTCTTTTATCCTTCTTGTCGCGTAAATTACCGTGCAAAAATAATTCCACGAACATTCCAATGAAAACACCGTCGAGGATACCTTCAATATTTATCGTTACGAGTGTTCGAGGAATTTCCGTTGTAACGGTAATTCGTTTACTCCAGGACGATGACTGTTCGCCGGTCGCTCGGAGCAAGCGCGGACGCGGCGATAAATAAATGGCGACACGTTTCATATTTGGATATATATGTTTTTTATGGACTCTGTAAACTCGGTTGTTTGCCCGGAGAGTGGACTCCCGTGGACAGGTACGGCGCACCATAAACTTTTCATTCCGGCGGAACGAAAAATTCGAAGTTCACGCCGGTCGCATTGTCTCGCTGGCGACGCCGAGGATTCAATTCCGCCGGCTTCCGATCGATCGTGGTCCCTGGCTCGAGGACCCATTTCCTGAAATTCCTCGACGTCCTGTTACCTTCTATCCTAAACGTCTTCCGCCGGTTCTTGTTGTCGTCCCAGAATTACCAAGGCAAAGGCAACGGCGATTGACCCGGTATCGGTGGACGATTTTTCAGGGAAAGGTAAGAAACAAGGTTTTTAGCGGTGATAATCTTCCGACGAAGGCGTGATTGATACGCCGCAGCATCCAGCGACCCAATTACGAAACGCTTTTACTTGAATTAAATCGTTTATCGTGGAAACTAACGATTTACTTCAGTGACGTCGGCTGTGCGCCTCTAATTTCTAACGGGGAATTAACTAAGACAATTTTTCTCGAGTGCTCAACTACCGGTGCTTTACCTTAAACGTTTCCTTTACATCGACTTTCTCTAAATTCTCGATTATACTTCTTCAACGCATCGTGTCGATGAAGATAGGTGCGAAAATCGGTTGGAATCTCGGGAAACGCGTTCTTGCAGCTTCCGCGAGAGTGTTTCACTTTTTAATGAATTTTTACGAGTAATTATGAACGAGTCGCTTGGGAAGAGATCCTCTTGAATCGTTTTTACCGCAAAGATGATTAAAGTTTCTAAGAATTCGATAAGTTATTTCGATTAGAAACCAGCTTGGGAAATTAGCCTCCCCTTTATTTCCTATCGAGCGAAGACTCGTCCGTTCGAACAGTCGAAGTCGCTTTTCTATTTATTCGGAGCAGTCTTTATCGTCGGATCACACGGCAATGTTCCTTTGCTCGCAGCTCCCTGCCTTACTAATTGTGAGGATAGTTAACGATTCAAATGGGAAGTACATTTTCCGTAATAGCACTCCAGAGGTGCAAGAAACCATCTCGACGGTTTTACTACCCTCGCGCGTCACGGGTAATTTTCCGACCGAGTACTCGATCCTCAATTGACGTTTCCCAATGGTATTTGTTATTTGCCCGACATCCTCTTCCAGCTCTGGATTTTCTTCCGTCGGGCGCGGTTGCCCGTCCACAAATTACGTGACAGAATTCAGTATTTATTTCGAAGAGAATCGTACGCCTCGATTTGTATCGCGCCGCGACACGATATCCGCGAGACCCGTGTCATTATTGACGAACTAATTTAAGGGACACTCGCGAAAGTACCGTTTCGTTGAGAGAATATTGCGAATAATCGATACACCCGGTGAATGGTTATTAAAACATTGATAGGTGCTCGGTGCCTGCGTTACCGTACGAATTAATTCATATTGATCCCCATTCTCTCCGGAATCTAGTTTGGAAACGCTTAATAAGATTCATTTAACCGAATCGAAACGAAGTCTATTATTCTTAACAAATGAAATAACATCGTTTCCCCGGGTCGTTGTTTCCAACTCGCGTTTGAGTTTAATTTCAATCGGTGCTCGGTGATTTTAATTATTCGAACGGATACTTTGATCACGTCGCGTCGGGGATTCGCGTCGAAAACGCGCGCAGCTTGGAGCCGGGCTTGGAAATTCGTGTGCAATGGTAGACACGCTTCGTACATTTAGATCGATTAAGTCTCTAGCTTCGAGAAATCTCTTGCCTACTTAGTTACATACCGTTCGAGATTATCGACGTAACACTACACACATTACTTCTGTAACTTTTGTACAATGGTTTACGGTACTGGCCGGAAAGCAGCTCGGAATTGATGTATCCACGGGTGCAGTTGACGTTTAAAAAGGAATAAACGAGGGAACATGTTAATTCGAGTTGAAATAATACACGTTGCGCAATTTTAATAACAATGTCGTTACTTCTTACGTACACTCGTAGCTTTCCACTCGCGTGGGTTAGTCTCATCATTGTGGACAACGCGCTGCTGGTCAAAGGTCGAGAGGTGGTGAAACGAACGTTCATTTGTTACGCAAATTTCACTTATTGTTAACGCGCGTTTACTTGGAAAACTCTAGAGTCAAGGTACCAGTAATTATATCCACGGATGCAGAGGTGCCATGGAAAATATTGCGCAGCCAGTTTACCTTCTGTTAGCACCTTTCGCACGGAACGGAAAAGAAACAGAGATGCGCATTATTTTCAAGGACTTCGACGCTTCGTCTGAGAATAGTTTATTCGACAGTCTCTAAAAAATCATTGACCACCGACGAGAATATAACCGTTCAATAATCACCGCGGTTTAAAAGGCGAATCAACAAGTGGACTCGATTAGCGCAATCCAACAACCATTGTCACGATCACTGATTAATACCCTGTCATCTATACCTCATCGAAAACCGAACATTTCCAGCGGAAACCTGCAGCGTCGAATGGTTTAGTACACAAGTTTGCTCGTGCCTTACGAGTACACGGCCGTCGCGGACGAAGTTTCGCCAAAATCGAAAGCAGCTCGAAAACTTCCGACCAGCAGCACATGTTGTCGCAACTCGGTTACCGTTTGCAACCTGTTCCCTTCATTGATTGCAAACCCGTCTGTACGCCCTCCGAGCCGCGTTTCGGCCATTACCGCGCGATCGTAAGGTATTCAGGAGCGCGGGACGCCGCCGTTCACAGGGCCTGGATACATTAAGCGAAAGACGTTCTTAATTATCAAGCATCAAAGGTTTCCTACGTGCGTCCCCTAACGAGGGGATCGCCGAGCGCGTCAGAGACCCAAGGGGAACATCTCTTTGGTAGTTTAGCCTCTTCGCGAGCAGCGCGAGGGTCCCGAGTTCTTCCCGCCATTGTTACGCGCCGGCCGCGACATGGCCGCGCGGAAAATGGCGGCGGGCGCCATTCGACTCTCCGCGCGGAAGAACCGGCTGCCCCTAATTCGCCTAAACGGTTCTTCGGTTATCTTCGAGATCGTCCGTGTCAGGTCACCGGAAACCTATCGACCGTAGAAGCGGGATCGCGGAACGATCCGCAACGAAGACAGCTGTCGGTCTGCGATCAAGACGCCCGACCCCGGGGCTCTCGAGTGATTAATTGACCAGCGTGACGGGTGCTCGGCGAGGCAGCGCGCGACGTTGCGTCGCCGTGGCGGACCCATCCGGAAAGTTTCAGAACGGGTTCATTCCGGATCACAGGAAACTCTCGTTGGGTACGTTCGCTGCGACGTCGATCGCCTCGACCCCCTGATTGTCGAGGCGCTCGCCGGCGTCCATCTCGCCCGCCTTGATCTCGTAGTTGTTGACGGGGTCGCCGTACTGGCTCTGGTAGAACTCCTCCCTCATCATGTGGTTCAGGTTGCTGCAGCGGAAGTAGAGGATCTCGCGGAACGGCTTGCGGAAGTCCCTGTTCAGCGTCGCGTAGATGATCGGGTTCAGGAGGCTGTTGCAGTAGCCCAGCCAGAGGAACAGGCTCGACAGGAACGCGGGTATCGCGTCCGGGTCGGCCAGGAACGGTCTGACCAACGCCAGCACGAAGAACGGCAGCCAGCAGACGATGAACGCGCTCATTATGATGCCCAGGGTGGTGCTGGCCTTCCGCTCCTTGGCCAGGTGGAACCTCAGCTTCTTCTGGTGCGGCGAGTTCGTCACGCTGCACGTGCTGTTCAGGTGGTTCCTCACGATCGTCGATTTCGTCGACGTCATCGGCGGCGTGGTCGCCGTCGACGACGAGAGGATCGGCTTCTCCAGCTTCTGCAGCATCGGGCACTGCGACTCGTTGCTCTTGCGCGGCCCGCCGGCGAAACAGCGCACCGCGTGGCCGCTGCACTGTAACAAGAAGGATTCCTCGTTAGTCTTTAGCAGTGGCCGATACCGATGATCGATTCGCTGATCGTCATCGAATATTTTCATTTCTTGTCGAACATTCGTTGCACCTTCTCAGTTTCAAAGCGCTCTGAGAGTAGACTTGAAAGCATTGTTCTTTTTTAACGTTTGTCTATAGTGTCCCTGCTCTGTCTCTAAGGATCGTTTAAGTTACGAGGAGATGAACGAAGCTTTCGAGTGAATTGTAGGTACGCGATTCGGTAGTTCGTTTGAAGTTCGAGTCGGTCGTGTGTATTGAATATTGGAGAGGTCAATGGAATCGATGAATATCGATGAAGAATCGGCGATAGGTCTATTCTGTCTATTGACAAACGATCGATGAATTTTGAATAATCCGGTGTGTCGGTTAACGCGAGACTCAGTCGCGGCGATGAATATTCGAGCGAATTCCTTGCACTTGAATCAGAACTTCGAGAGGGTTTCACGTGTTCGATAGAGGAAACGATTCGACCGGGTCGACTTTTCGGCTAGTTTGAGGTCGGTTCGTTGCCCTGAAAACCCAATTGGCTGAATCGCGATCTGCACGAACAGGCACAGGCTCTACGGCCGCGCTCCCTCCCTCCGCCTCTCTCTCCCTCTCGCGAGGATAAACAGATTAGTCCATTGAAACTCTGACGAGCTTGATTGCAAGGTCACTTTCCTGGCTGACTGACAATTAGCGAGAAGGAAATCCGGAGGCAATCGGCGAATTTGTCGCTCGCTCGATCTATTACTCCTGTAATAGACTCCATTATGTAAACGTTCGCGAGCCTCTGCGAAACCATGCACAAGAATGCCCACTTTACAAGCGTAAATATTGCTTCTCAGCTCGCACTGTCCCTCCTAGCGCTAATGGTTAAATAAACAAGCGACGAAAAGAAGCAAGAATCCACCGCGAGATCGAAATTTCTCCGAAACAATCTCTAACGGCGTCTCGACTTGTACTAAGATCTCTTGCTACTTTACTATTCCTTGCGATTTTCGCTAATTACAAAGAAAATACATCGAAAATGAACCGTTTAAACTTATTTAGTTCCAGCGGCGATCAATCGAGAAACAGGGAAACGCGATTTCGATTCGCGACACGAGCGAAAATATTTTTGACGAGCTCGTTCGTGTAGGTGCGAGCTGGAAGCATGGACCATCACGTCGATGAAAACGCGACGGTCTCAGAGCCGCGGGGAGTCGGCTGAGAAAATTGTCGGCGCACAAACGAACCGAAATGCAGATTAGTTTCGCCAGGTCGACCCGGCTGACGTTCTTACGAATGCAGATGACATTCGGAATAATTGAGGGGAACGAAAATGCCCTGCGGTGGTTTAAGACAGTGGTTCTTAACCTCCTTCGTTTGAGCAGACACAATCACGTACGTTTACCGATTCAAGGAGAAATCAAAGAGCACGCGTGATTTTTGAATTTCGAATAGCGATTGAAACTGTATTTCCTAATTTCATCTTGCTTAAGATAAACTTATTGTACTTGTCATTAGATAATTCCATCACAAACCCACGAGAGACTTTCGAAACTGAATTCCACGGTTCGCTGGTTAACCCTTTGCGATCGAATGTCCGCTTAATAACGATTTCAAACGGTCATATCTAAAATCGACAGCTGCGAATGCAATTATTCTACTCAGAAATCGGTACACAAGCTCGTTCTTTCCTATTTCAAATCTCAATACTCTTTCCTACTACTTAAATCTCAACTTCTTATGGAAACAGTTTTCAAAGGTTCGAAGACGTCTCGTTCGCGAAGGGTTGAAAGTAACGAAGGACCCAATTCTCGGTCGGGGCCCGCAGGTTAAGAACCGCTGGTTCAAGACGCGGAATCGGCAAGACAGAGAAATCCGGCTTTACGAGCTCGCTCGCTGCAAACCTGAGACCACGGTGTCCGACGTCGCGGACCGCGCTGCCAACCCTCTCGGCCTCGCGCCGGGAATTACCGTCTGCTCCCCTGATTATTTTTACCGGCGTGCCCGACCCTTTTTTACGCCCTAATTTCATGGAAGATTATAATCTCGTGGATGTTTAAATCCGGGCCACCCAGTTCCCCGGCGCAGTCTCTTTATGCGAACGAGAATTATTGCCAGGCGAGATCCGCCCGGCGGAATGGCGGACGCCGCGGCTCCTTTGTTTCTTTCATCTCGGATGGAACGTTTGATGGATTTCGTTCTTGCCCCGGTGCAGCGAGAGCTGGTTTTCTACTTTGAAATCCGTATCAATGTTGTTTAACAAAGGGGCGAACCATCGGAACAGTATTTTTCGAGCACGCTTGAAATGTAACAGGAAAATTGCAAGTGCCTCCGTTTGCATTACGTTAGTGCCGATAGAATTAGCAAGATTGGCAATGCTTTGTCGCTTTCCTCGACTTTCCGTGTTCGGTTTTGAATGAGGGTATTGTTGAGGAAAGTCGTGAAAATTACTACGATCGTCGAATATGCAGCTACCGCGGTCTTGCAAACGAAGTTAGGCCAAGTCGAGCGAAGCTCGTCAGTTGAAAGCAGACTAAGCGTAACGCTACCGTTCGACTAGCAACACAACAACTGATAGATTGATATTAAGGGGTTTCTCTTACCGCTGTCATATTTGCCTGCGTATCGCCATGACGATTCGATCGTATCTATAACAAACGTTTTACGAAACACTTTCAGACTCAGCCATATTAAATGTGGAGGAGCGTCGCTCTACAAGCTGCGATTTCATAGCGAACGGTATCGAACGTCGACAAATTCGTGACGGGACTAAAGAGAACGAGAAACACAGTATTCGCTGCACGAGTAGCGACAGACTTTCATTGGTCAATGCTTCGTTGAATTCGTCGATCGTTAACTAATTCCATTGAGAATATTCCTGCGATAACCCAATTCAAAGTTAATTATGTTCCAGTAACAATTATATTTGCCCATAACAATGGAATTCTGTGTTTCTCGAAAGACCAGCATGCTAGCAGATTTTAATGAGATTCGACGCGTGATTACGCCAAGACGATAATCCCAGAAAGATCAACATACGACCAGCAATCACAATATTTGCTCGCAACAGGGGAATACCGTATTTCTCGTAAGAGCGACATGATAGGGCTAGCAACACAGTAACGAGTATTGACGCGCGATTATAACGAGCCAATACCGTATTCCCCGGAAGATCAACACGACAGGGTATCGACGCAACAGTAAGACCACTCGACGCGCGATTACAACGAGGGAGTGTGCCGCTCTCCTCCAGAAAGAGCCGAGCGGAGTCACGAATTTGTACGAGCCGCCGCGGTTGGATCGTTTCCGTCTGCGTTGCGCAATCTACGGGGGCAGGCATGCATCGCTAGGCTCGGATGATCGATGCGTAAGCCACTAATCTCGCAGCGTGTAATCCCGAAAGCTTGGGCAAATGAAATTGGGTACGGTGGGTACGTGATCGGGAACCGGTCGCGCATCGGTAACGGGTTCACGGGGCAGCGCGTGTATTTAAGTAGATCCCGATACCCGAAACGGGCTCCGACCAATCGATCCGACCTCCGCGCGGCCTCCCTTTGTCGGGAAGACGATCCGTTGATACTACGTTTGAGGAAGTAAGATTGAAATTAATGTAATCGATATTTCTCTTTGTTACTCACAATTCCTTGAAAGAAAATTCCAGTGTCATTCTATGTCAACGCGTGTTTTAAGGATCGATGACAACAGAGTAACATGCAGTTTTCCTTCGAATAGATTGAATGATATGTATGTTCGTTACATTCGCAATCAGGGATTTCATTCGTGATTCCGACAACGAAGGAATATTCCCTGTGCATCGACGGAACACGTAACGAGGGAAATCTGTAGCGTAATCTTTATGCCTAGGCGTTGCGATGTAGCTCGGAGTTGTTCGCGCGAGGGTCGTAAAAAGTCTAGCGGAGTATAAGCGGGAATTATACGGCCGAGAAAATAAGATGGCGCTCGAAGGTCTCCGGCTCGCGTTGATTAAGAAAATGCATTTGGCAAACGATGATCCAGATTATTCCGTATAAATTGCGTAAACGTTCGTCCAACGCGGCGCATTGTTTACGAACCATAAGCTCCTCGGTACGCCCACCTACAGTGCTCGGAAGTAACGGGTCGCAAAAGCTTTACGCGGGGATAAAAACTTTACAGCCGGCGTATCGAACGACTAATTTGCTGCGATCCCCGTGATCCATATGCACGCGTGCCCGGAATCAGAGCAACATGTCGCGAGACGACCGTAAAACTTTGCGAGAGAATATATCACTGTACGCCCCTAAAAATGTATATCTTCCTATTGTCGATTGTTCATTGAAATTGATTAATTCAACCCTCAGCACTGCAGGTTGTCTTGTAATCGAAATGCTACAACGTTTCTTCCAAAATCTGGATGTGCGGAAAATCGAACAATTTTAGGGTAGTTTCCTTAAGATTCATTCGAACATTTAATATCATAACTGATGCAACACTGGAGCCTAGAGTTCAAAGGGTTAAATGATCAATCGACTGCGCCACTCTATTCTCTAAGAAATCCACTTGCATACTCATTATTACTTCTCAATTATAACTCGTAAATTACGATACAATTCACTTCCCTTAGAAAGCCTCAAGAAATAAGAGAACAAACGATTCATTAACACGTTTCAATCGCGAAACTTTTAAGATGAAATTCTTTCAAATCAATTCACGAATTATGATACTACCCAGTGTCGTTTTTTAAACGATCCATCGGTTGTCGTCTCGCGAAATTGTCGCGGACGATTTGAAATCTCGTCGGACACGTCGCAAGCGTATCTGGAGGTTGTCCGGAAGATTTCAGCCGGAAATCCTCGCGAGACGCCGCGTCGTCCGCGCCCTGAATCGTGATGGATGGCGCGCGCGCGGGGCCGGGCTCGAATCCCGATGAAAATTCATCGCGCCGAGGTAACCGAACGCTGCCGGTCGGACCTCGAGTGCGCGCTCCGTGAAATTTCTGGGCGGAGCACGTCAGGACTGCGCGATGAGATGCATTTCGGAAGCAGGGGTACGCGATTGCTCGTAAAACTAACCGCCCACGTGCTTAAATAATAGATTTCGTGCACGTTAACCCTTTCCAGTCGAATGACGCTGGAACGGTGACTTTGAGCTGTGAAATCTGAGATCGAAAGTTGCGGTCTAATCGTTCTTTTTTAATATAGAGAGCACGTGATAATTTAATTTCATTTTCCTGGCTTTCGCGGAGAGCTTTTCGGAGGCTTGATAGATTCTCGATAAGGGTTGATGAGGATTAACTCAGAGATTTGGCAAACTATCGCGCGAAGAACGCTGTTTTCACCGATTTTTCACGGATGTGTACGCTAATTTCGTTTATTAATCGTTTCATGTGGAGTGATATATTTAAAAATCATCTAGTATATGTAATGCAACGAGACTATCACGTTACAATACGTTTGAATTCGTTTTTCAAAGTATAAATCTAAGTATTCAAAAAATGATCGTAACTTCAAATTTCCACGAGGGTAATCGAAATTCTCGCGTAACTGCACGAGCGAGTTATGTACAAATTGCGCGAAGGAAACCACGAAAACGGGTACTCGATCGTTAACAGCGAAGCGAGATCGTCTGGGAAGTTTCCCTCGCGTTACCGATAGATAGTAGATGCATAATCGAAGCAGGATATTTCACGTTTCTACGTCGTGTTACAGAATTATGCAGAATCCGGTAGAATCCCGGTGTTCGCCGGGATCCATTCGAGAAGCGGCTAACGAGTGTCGGCATTGAAATCGGTCGTCTTCATCAAGCGAGCGTCGAACGTTCAATTAATATCTTCTAACGACTCCGCCGGATGCGCCGGCGGCCGTGTAACGATCGTAGATAGAGTCGGTCGGCATCACGAAAATCGTTAGCTCCGGATCGCCGGGTTTGTCTGTCATAATGTTTACACGAGTCCTGGCTAACGGCGCGCTCGCAGCTAGCAGCTCGTTCGATTACGCTGCTGCACGGGTCGCGCGTGATTTTGCTCGACAAGCTGCGTCGCACCGTGAATGTCGTGTTAAACACGATTCTCTGTTCGTTTAATAACTCTGCCACTTTGTAATCTGCACCGTATCTTTAGGGTAATAAGCAAATGCGAGGAACAATAGAATTTTGGATAGTAGTCTTGATGCTTTCACGGCCTGGAATATTATTACATTCATTTTTGGCTTTCGGTTTCTTTTTATATTGATTGCAATATTGAAGTTAGTTATTTTCCAAGTCATTTCGGGTTTTTAGCGCATTTAAGATACCAATAGTTGCGAAGTAAGAAACCTGGGACCCGCCATTTTGTCGGCAGCGCTTGTTCTAGCGTTGATGATCAAAAGAGGTTATGTAGGACATTAATGGATTCGGCTGGATATAAGCTACTTATGTTTCTTGCGTCGAAAAGACTTATAGTTTACCACGTATTATAGCGGTAACATCTATTTACTACGTTAAATTACTATCTTAAGACGGGAAACTTCCCCGCGGTCGACCCTGTACAACGAAAGACGCCGGACATCGTCGGAAACGCTCGGAGAACGCTTCGGATCTCCGTCGAATTCGTCTGAATCGAACCGAACATCGTTAACCCTTAACACGAAAATGCATTCACGGCTGCGCCAGTCTTCGGGTGACAACTCATTCGCCGAGCTAAATTGATTTGCATTGAGATTCATCGAATGAACCAAATTCCATTAAGCTCTGCACGGTTCGACCAGGTCGGGGAAGGCATTGCTGCCTTTCATCTTCCGTTTCATTCAATGAATTCTTTCGATCTCGTGAGATTTTCATTAGCTACGGTTCATTAGTCGATGCGTTAATAATACGATACGTTCATTATGATACATTCCCTCATTAAATCAATTTCTATCGCAAGCAACGAAACAAATCCAGTTATATTTTCATTAATTGCAAGACGAAGAAATCAGGAACGAGTGATTTTGATTCACCTGACAGTTTCAGTGTTAATCCGCGACGCAGTTTCCTTCCACGTTTAGCTGAAAACCGTCGAAAAAGCCGAGCCGCGCAATTTTTTCCATCCCCGGCCCGTTCTCGTCCAATTTATTCGTCGCGCGTCTATTAAAGCCGGATTTACACGGCGAAAAGGTGGCCGCGCGGAGCGCGAACGGTCCCGCGCGTAATTCACCCGTTAAACCGTCCGACCCGCGAAAATTGGCTGGCCGACTAACCGCGCGTTGTCTCTCGACGAGGAAATTGATGTGAATCTATGATCAGTGCGGTGCAGATCCCCGCGCGATTTCCAGTTTCCTGAATCATGCTTAGGAAAGTAGAATCACGATGGAAAAGGGTCCTCCGTAATAAACAATTAGAGTACCTCGTGTGTTTTCACCAAAAGTCATACTAAATCTTACTCGTTCCTTTGAATTCAGCCGTACGATCTGGTTTTTCTAGAATTCTACTCCCATGTAACTTTACCTTATTCATATAGAACATGTCTATATAATTATTGAATTGATAAACAAACAGGAACAATACTGACACTCGATCGTTCACGAATAGCACCGTGTAAAACGCAAAGACGACCAATGATTTCGCACAGAAAAATGAATTTGCAATGCGTCAAAATGAATACGGGGAATTTCTACTCCCATGTAACTTTACCTTATCCATATAGAACATTTTT